CCAGCTTACTATGATAACCAGCTTACTAGGATAACCAGCTTACTATGATAACCAGCTTACTAGGGTAATCACCTTACTAGGATAACCAGCTTACTAGGATAACCAGCTTACTAGGATAACCAGCTTACTAGGATAACCAGCTTACTAGGATAACCAGCTTACTAGGGTAACCAGCTTACTAGGATAACCAGCTTACTAGGGTAATCACTAGGATAACCAGCTTACTATAGGGTAACCAGCTTACTAGGGTAACCAGTAAGCCTAATCACTAACCAGCTCACTAGGGTAACCCGATCGGGTTACCCTAGTAAGGGTAACCCACGGGGCCGCAGTAATTGGCCAAGGCTCGGTTACGGACTCCCTGCCATTAATTGTATTATATTTATTTATTTACAAGGCAAAGCCACTAAATTAAATTAAATTAAATTAATTAAATTACCTACCTCCATGTAAACAGGCCCTTAAATTATAAACATATTTTGGCGATAACAATACAAATCTCTCTGGTTCTTTTTTTATTTTACCTTTTTCCAAATCTTTCTTATGAGTCTCTTTCAGTTTGGCATGAACTATTTCTTGTTTCCGCTCGTATTCTGCTCTTAGTAATGCCACTTCTACAACACTGTCACTCATTGCCGAGAGCATTTCTTCCTCGAGACGAGCTCGCTGGCTACTTTCTTTCACTGAGATAACAAGAAAATAAATACGTTGATGTAACTGTAATATGAGCGTTAAATGATATTTATACCAACAACATTTAAACATTCCACAGCACCCTTACTTAAAACTTCATATTTTTGTGTGCAAATTAGTCAATTGAATCATCGATATAGATCTGAATGGTTTAATCTATTTTGAACAGCGAGTCTTTGGCGTGACTTTACCAGTTTGTGGCGTCATTATATTTATTTCATTTGCATATCAAACAAACTAAAATATCTCAAGAGGTAAAGAAAAGTTATAAAATAACTTATTTCACAGTTTAACGAATTCTTTCTCTCTCAGCAGACTTGAATTTCATTGCTCTTACCCTTTAAGATTCATTTACGAATAACCAGATTGCAAGTTTAGAAATGCTCAGTTTGAAAGCAGTATTACACAACAGACCTGGCGCAAACTGATGGTTTTTTTCAACTTCGTGGTGAGTTTTGTTGGTAGTCGGATAGTTGTATTAGACATCCCTACCAGGATTGTGTTCTCCCAAGTAAAGAATGCTTGTGTTATTTACTCTTTTAAAGAACGAGCAGGTATGAACACGAGGCAACATCCAAGTGTTTTAAATCTGATACAGCACGGACTTCGAGTGTTTGAAAACGACCCATCTTATGAGTTCAATGGCGAAGTGATTTTGAAAATCAACGTCTAAAGCCCCGGTTAAGAGAGTTGATGAGAGTTGCCACTCACACATTGATACGGGGGACATTTCAAGGTTAAATGAGTGTTTCAGTCTCGGAAAAGCATTAAGAACAGCTAACCAATGTGGCTTGACTGCCAACTCTCATGCACTCTTATCCTCATTTGATCCGGGCTTAAGATGAGAAAATCAAACCTACAGTTTATAATTCTCAGTATCGGATAATTCTCAGTATCTTGAAGCCGTCATCATCTCGGTTTGTGTTATCCACAGCCTTCGGTAGATAACACAAACCTCGGCCTTGATAATTCTCCATATCACACTCAACCTCATTCAATAATTGTTTATTAACGTGATGTTTTAAAACGACGCAAGCCGGATCAACTGAAGCAGCAATACTCGGCAAACCAAAACAACGTCTAGCGATTGAGCTGTGGAGTTAACAGTAGCACATACAAAATCAAAACTTCACTACAGTATTTCAGTACAAAACCATGGAACTTACCCAACATATTTTCAGTTGAATGATATCTTTCCTTGGTAAACTTTAGATTCTTTCTTAATAGTGATGCGTTTTTACGTTCATCATCCACCTAAAAATGTATGAATACCACATATAAACTCTCACCGCAATAATGAAAATTTCATAAGGATAAAAAACGTTGTTGTTGAGGATTAAAAATACAATCTTGAGTCTCGACTGTTGATTTCAAGAAGTTCATTTAACTCCAGTGGAGTTATTTTGAACCCAATTTTACTCCAAATGTCGAGTTAATGTTGGTTAAAAATAACTGTAATTGGAGTTGAATTAATAGAGCAGCGTTTTTCTTTTAGCCAAAATATTTATTGTTTCACCCAGTGTAGAGCAGGACAACCGCGTTCTCTATATAGTTGACGTATGTAATTTGTGTTGTTCTTCAAAAACATATTTTAAAAAGCTTACTTTTTGAGCATAAACTTGCAAAGCAACAAGACAAGCTTCAAACTCTAGATTTCTTTGTACAAATGCAGCCAACAATGCATCCGTCTTTCTTTCCTCCTCAGAGGACTTTTGTGTTGTTTCTTCTTGTTCATGTTGTGACGTGTCAACTTGAACTGCAACAGAGTGTCGTGTTACTTCTGGTGTTTGCTTCAATATGTCAGGTGTAGCAGCTGAATTTAAACAACTTCTTAAACCAGTGTTTGTACTTTCAAGTTTTTCTTTCACAGATCTTTTTTTCACCGATTCCTCCGAGTTTTGTCTCTCCTTGAACGACAATGGTTCACCAGTTTTTATTTTCCGAGGCTGAGAAAGTGTTTTACTACTTGTGGAAAGATTTTCACTCACACTACCCACTGTAGGTGCTTTTAAAGAACTTTTCAAACCTAGGAAGGACACAAGAATGAATTATTTGAGCGTGTGGTTCTGCTGTGGGTAGAGATGAATAATATTCTAGAAAATATATTAACAAGAACTTCGCGATCGACGTGTTGAGCGAAAGACCTCCTTTTGCCTTCGCGGTCTTGAATTGTGTTAATCTCATGCGCAGATATAAAACCTATTTTGAGTACCTCATTTTTAGAAAGAGGGATTTATAGTAAAGAGAGTGCATGATTATCAGGTATTGGATCAACAATATTGGTAATACATTCTCTGGATCAATTTGATACTACAACTTCAATTACAGTAGGGTGTCTTTCTATTAAATTAAACAGACAATCTTTGTTCACAAATTTGACTAACCCAAGAAAACAGAAGGTATTTTCTAAAGATATTTAGACAGCCTACTAACTCTCGTCACGATGCGATCGAAATGTTGAGAAGTGTTTTTATCTCACTGAGATCAAGTGGCAGTCGTGTACTTTCACAGAATGTTTTTTTACAAATTCTATACAGCCCTAGCTTATGACGTTTACTCAAATCTTTCCAGCCCAGTCCATGATCTTGGTCCTGTCACATCTTGGAAGCAGCAAGGTCTGGTCTCACGTTTTGCATGACATTCCGTCACAATATTTCAAGGAAAACATGCCACGTATAAACCTAATTAATTTCAATAATATTTCATCAGTGTAATATATCTCTCCGAAACATAATGTAAAACTTACTGAACTCGTTCTTATCATGCACTCCAATATTTCATTCAAACCCTGGATCATACGCGTTGTGCTGAAAAAGGTTATATATATACTTCCACGTTTTGAGCGAAGGCCCGAGAGTGTCTCCTCTTGAAACATCGAAGCGTTCGGTTAATCTTTTACGCTGATAAGAATATACTACGCCGATTTAATTAATGGGGAACATTTCCTTTCCTCCCAAATGCTTACTACAAACCTGATAGAAAAAATATACTAAAATTTGTTGTTTTTAAAATTCAAACCTTTCAACCTACGTAAAGATTTCCCATCATTATTAAGGAAGAGTTTGAATCGTCTGTTAAACGATTTACGTCGCCCAAGTGGACAAACCTTCTTAAACATAATTGTTCATTATTAGTTTCATCCGTCAAACACAGAAACACGACACGTTAAACGCCGGTTTAGTAATATATTTGTCAATTTCACCTAAGAGTAATCTTGATGAAAATTGTCAAGATGGTAATTTGACATTCTGATTGGACAGATAGAAAAACGATTAATTATATAGAATAACCACCAATAAATATTTAATAACATTCGTCGCAGTATGGGAAAAACATCAGAGTGAAGAATCGTAAATTGCAAAAAAAATATGAATGATATAATCCAGCGATTGATTCATGTTTTCAAAACGGATAACACAAGGGGAAATATATCTAGAAAAGAAGTACTTTCAACAAGGTCTGTTTCAGTTCTTCGATCCAATTTGCTGAATTTCATTATTAAAACATAATGTTTTCTTGCGTTCAATTACTGTAAAGAATATCCGGGTAATATAATTATATGAATTACTAGATTTTGAACATATCAACCACGATAATCGAGTTCCTCGTGACACACATTGCAGTAACTGTGCAAATCCTGTATTTAGTCATTGAAAATAAACGTTGATATTAGGGACCAGTCATTATTTATGACGGGGGGTGGCACTGAAGAGAAAAGCGTTGGGTAAACAAAATTTTGAGTGAGCAAAAGGTTGGATAAATTAAAAACAAAGCAACTCAAGAGTGGGATAATAAGAACTTATTGTTATTTCCAAAGCACGTCTCTCACGACTAAAAAGCAAAGTTAACAGTCATATATCAATACAAAATGTAAATCAAACAGTGTCACTTTCTTGATCATTTTCCGATTTGTCAGGAGGCAAATGGTGTCTCTAAAGAAAGTACATGTGCAGAGTGCAGACAACATGAAACTTTAGACTGCAGAAAAATGCACAAGCAGCTATCAAACTCATGTCACAGAACCAAGGGTGCATAGTAAAATTTGGGTAAAAGAATTAAAGGTTGGGTAAAAATCGACTTTTAATGGTTGGATCAGCAAAACTTTTACCAAGAAAAACATTTCTCTTCGATGCCAATTTCCAAAAGTAATGATCGCCCCTTGGAATGAATGACATGGCAAAATTACACTATTGCAAAAGTGTTACACCTCTTAAAACGCTTGGACAGGACGTAACACATAACTCTTATAATAAATACCGAAAAGGCTTATATAATCGATCTTGCAAATTTCAGATTACTATCATAGGTATTTCATTGGTCTTCGATATATGAAGATGTGAAAATCGTTATATTAAGGTAATTGGTCAGGCGATTACGAATTCTCAGTCACGAAACGGTTTGAGGAAATTTACAATGAATACATTGTTAGCTAAGATTGAACTGTGTTGTGAATGAATCATTGATAAGACTTGGCAGCGTACCTGTAGCTAAAGGACAAGAAGCAGTGCCAAAAAAACATTTCAACTTTACTCACCACTAGTTTTGGCAATTCCTCTTTCAGCTTTTGATGTAGACATGTTTCTGAGCTTACTCACGGAAGGTTTAATCTCTTCTTTTGTTGTACAGGAGGTAGAGAGATTTCTTCCTCGAGCAGCAACAGCTTTACTCTCATATTTAGGAGCAGCTGATGTTGACAAAGTCCTTGATTTAGCAGACAGTGATTTAGTTGATGTTGTTGAATGGTTTCTTGATCTACTGATATCTGCTTTACTTTCCTTTTCTTTCTTAGCAGACATGATTGAACTGGACTGCTTATTTTTAACTTGCAATGAGGATACTTTATTTTCAACATTACTGTTTTCTCTTGATATACTTTTTTGTTCATTCTCATCATTTCTTGTCAGTGAGCTTATGGAAGATGTTCGGTTACTAACGCTTGCATTGCTTAACTTCTTCTCAAACCCCGTAGGTTTCTTGCATATTGGTGTACTCGTAAGACGGCTGGAAGGTGGAGCGGATATCTTAGAGGCCAGTGGAGTTGCAAATTTTGATGAATTCAAGCGGCTTCTGCCGAGTGGCTGACCATCTCTAACATCTGATGATACACTCTTTGATTTGATTTTCAACGCAGATTTACTCACTGATGGGGTGGCAAGAACAGATCGTGGTGCAACAACACTTGTAGATTTCGTCCTATTTTTCTTCGCGAGCGCATCATTCGCAACAAGTTTACGTGCAGATTTTGAAACTAGTTTTCCCAGAGCAGTAGTTGCTGCTTCTCTATCTAATACTTTGGGCTTTTTCTCAGCAGATATTTTCACTAATTTTGATTTCGAACATTCACTAGGGCATGGTAATTTCCTGGGAGTTTTTGTTCCACCCAAACGACTTCGCTCCTTGTTCGATTTGACAGATCCAAAAGATGAAAGACTCTCCATGGACGACCATGACGATTTAGACGCTGATCTTCCTCTTCCGTTTTCACCATCACTTTCATTGGTACTCACAACATTCGTATTTTCCTGGTTGGCTGAAGAAGTGATGTCTTCTTGTTTCTCCCGACCATTGTTGTTAGCAGATCTTTCGTTTGAATCAGATCTTGTCTCCGATGTTTCATGAACTTGTTCACCCTCTCGCTCTACAATACGATTCTCTGTGCGTACCAGAAACGTCTTATTAAGATTTGAATCTTGATCTTTCCCCAAACCCGCTGGTGCCGGAAACCGAGCGGTGTTGATACTCCCCAACTTGATAGATTGCTTTACTTCAAACTTCGGTGACAAGTCAATATGATGATGTAATGTACTGGTTGCAATACCAACAGGCATATCCTCATTCTTTTGACCGTCGCATACTTCACGCGATGTAGCATGTGAAGAAAGAAGTGGTGTAGAATGTGTAGCTTCGCACAAGTTCTTGCTATCATTAAAAACTGGCGAATGACATACATATGTGACATTGTTTAACTTGGTAAGTGATGATGACTTTGTATTTCGAATATTACACTTGAATGGACTGTTGGTAAATACGTTAGAACCTCCTTTCTTTTCATTTATCACTGCATCTGATTTTGACCGGGGCCGCCCTTCTTCAAAATTACTATCACTGGTCTCCAGTTCCTGTTCGTTTGTAGAAGATTCTTCATCTCTCCTCACTGGACTAGTAACTTGAAGTGGTTTCTGTTCATCTTCAGTCTTTACAGGGAAGACATTGTTAGGATTGACAAATATTCCATGTCGTTCATCGCATTCAAAATACCTAACTCCAGCGACAGAGCCATCATTCTTACCACATGCTTCACGTAATGCGATGCCACACCAAACACCTGAACTAAATTTTGTTTCACCAATAAACTTTAATACCCCAGGTATCTTTTGTTTATTTAATACACATATCACTTGTTCTTCTATAGGGACTTTCTGGTCTGGTTTTTCATTGGGTGTCTGAGTTACGTATCCAACACTCTAACAAAGAAACAAACTATGATTACATTAGGCGGGTATAAAAGAGTAGTCAAGGTTAACTGCAGTTCGTGCAAAAATTAACAAAATCAGAATCGCGTATTTGATCGTTAACTACTATTTAACTACAAAACGTGTAGTTAAAAAGTAGTTAACCTTTTATACAATCGGTCCAGGGTTGCTCTGGCATACATCTACTACATTCTGGAGGGGTGGGTGGTGCCCGGTGCCCAGAAAGCCATGTTCAAACCCCCGGTTCACCAGCTTCACTTCAACAAAATTTGATAACGAACTTTGAATGTTTGAATTGGCTGACAAGTTTGGGCATGGCCGGTGAAGTATACGAAACATTAAAACAGCATATCTAAATTTGGAACTACTATTCAGTAGCGCAGCAGTAAAAGCAGTGATGGAAATGGAGATTCTAAGTGTGGAGATGGGTTATGGTAAGGAGCTGTTTATATGGGGCAAGCAAGCCAAACTCACCCGGTTTAGGCAAGATCCGGTCTTTGCACATAAATTTCATTTTGTGTTTATATGGGAACTGATAAGTGAACAGGCCCACCTAAACGAGATCCTGCCTCAACTGACCTTAGATCTTGGGTGACCAGGCTGGGAATTTTCTATATATTAAACACAATTACGCCAGCTATCTCGCCTAAGGGCGCGAAATAACGGCTGGAGGGTCGCCGGTCAAGGTGACCGCCATTTTACAGTGGCGTGCTGGCAGGGGGGCGGGGGCCAAGCCCCCCAGCCCCTTTGACACTAAAATGATTGAAAGCGCTAGCGTTAAAGGCCGAAGGAGTAACCTTTTGTAAGATCGTCGCACAAACATATGATGGAGCTTCCAACATGAGTGGCTCAACTCATTACAAGCAGTAGTGCAAATAGAAATTGGCAATCATGTAGTATGCACACATTGCTATCATTTGCTCTTGTGCAAGTTTCAAGAAATTCACCAGTTGTTCGAAACAGATCATTGAAGCCAATCATTGAAGCCAATCAATACGGTACGGTGGAGTTCTCCTTAAAGCCACGAGAGGTTCTCTTCGCCTCGCATAAAATAAATACGAGCGGGAATTGTAAAGCGAAAGATACGAGAACCTCTGGCAAGCTTTGAACAACCGGCCTCTGGTGATGACCACTGAGCTATCACCCATGCTTGGTCCTTAAAGTCTTTCTTTTGCCGTACAAGTGTGTGATGCAAGTTCTTAAACAAGTTGAGGTAAATCGGTCATATTCAGCACACGCCAGATCAACTATAGAAGGGATTCGATCATCCTATGAAACGAAGCGTTTTGGCCACCGTATACCTTTTCCGTGAAATTTTTGCAATTACTGGTCCGCTGAGTCGATGCTTACAGAGTGTCAACGTGGATCTCGGCAAAGCGTTGGGTTTGATTGATACGGCTCTTTCACGCCTACAACGATCACCGAAAGCGACTGCGAAACGGTGGATTGGAAAGAAAAATGAGCTCACTGACACAGAGTAATGGATGGAGATATTGCTAGAGACGAACCAGAACACAGCGCCGAAGATGAATGGGAACGAGAAATGTTTTATGTTGCCATGGACACGGTAATCAACTCGATGAAAAATCGTTTTGAGAAAAATCGACCATTGCTGCAACCCGTCGCATTTTTTGCCCCAGTTGGTTTTCCTGATCTCGTCAAAAACGTTTCAACCGCCCACGATCTGGAAGCCAAAGTAAGGAGCTTCTGAACGATGTACCACATCGACTCGCACCGATGTCCAGATCTATACCCAGATGAACTGTTCAACTTTGCAGAATCTTTTCAAAAATTCAAGTGTGAAGTGCTTTTTGATGAAGGCAAAGAAGAAAGATTCTGATTTAGACTCTGAATCTGAAACCGAAGACCACGAAGAAGAATTCGAAGCCGACAGCGAGTCACGCGACGACGGAACTGCTGAAGAACCAAATTAATTAATTAGGACAAGGATAAACCATCATTTCTAGAGGCTCTGCAAATTTTGTTGAATCCTGATTATCACTTAGTTGACGCATTTCCATCTCTTTCTAAAGTTTACGCGATCGCAATTCCAATCAGCTCTACACTAGAACTGCAGAGCGCTCTTTCTCTGCTCTTACGAGAGTAAAAACTCGCATACGTTCATCTATGTCTCAAGAAAAACTTGAAGCGTTGCTACTTATGACGACTGAACGAAAGGTTGTTTTTGAACGAGGAGCAGATTATTACCGCCTTTGGAGGTCTGACATCAGGATTGTCGAAGGCGCTTATATGAAAATTTTCAGAAATGCTAGAAATTAACAATCGTTATTGAATATCGGATATCGGAATATTTGGATTTTCGAGAAACATTAAAGATATTAGAGAACATGCGATATGACATTGCATAAGAACATTCGACACAACACGTGATATATAGTATTAAGTCTAATTCTTTTTGTATGTTTTGACAATTAACATGATAGATTCGTAACAATAAAGTGCAAGCACAATTTTTAGTAAAACATTACAAGTTATTAGTGAGATCAGCGTTAAATAAAAATTAAATATTTTATGCAGATATACTCAACGAGTGACTTTATTCCTCTATAAATTCAGTAATGTAAAATAAAGATTTGTGGTAAAACCGATACCATACTAATTTAAGTTGTTGAACTAAATTGCAAATTTCAACACGTTATAATGCCGTTTCTTGACCATCAGATATTTCTGTCCAATCCTCCTCCAAAGTCCAGGAAATGGCATAATTTCAGAGACTCTAAATTTAAAAATTTTCAGGGGGAGCATGCCCCTGCCCCCCCCCCCTACAAAAACCTCGCACCTGCGGCACTCGGCTCGGGCCTTCAGCCCTCGTTCACCAAGCGTTACCTTATAGGGGCGCATAATTGATTTATAGCCAACTGGCCCCTCCTGAAAAATAGTACCCAGCATGCCACTGCCAGCCAAATCAATTTTAGCTCGGACATATCAAATTTCAGACGGGTCAAATTATTCAGCTTAATTCAAAGCAGAGCCTAGTAAAGTATACATCCCTAAAAAATGCAAAAAAAGCCTTAAAACAAAAAGCCTTACAACAAAAAACCTTAACGTAATCAGTAACAAAGCCTTAGACAAAAAGCCTTAACGTAATCAGTAATTGAAAAAATATAGAGGATGCGTAGCCAGGTTGAAACATTATTTATTGAACGTTCTCTGACTTAATATTTATTATACGAGCTTTCGGCTATCAGTCTATAGCCTTCGACGGGTGTATACAAATGATTCTATAAACGACGCTAAACTTAAGTAGGTGGTTGAAATCCGAGACTATCTATGGTATGTTACAAATGGGTAATATGAATATTTAATTAATTAATGTTTCTTGAGTTCCTTTCTTAAAAGTATTGTATATTGTGCTGGAAGAGTATTAGAGTTATTATCAGCTTCGTCTGTTAGTGCAGTGTGCCAGGACTCTAAGGTTTCGATGATTTCCCTTTTCTATCACTTTAGCATTGGGCATTGGCAAAGTCAATTACATGATCTTCAGTCCATGCGTGTTTTGCAACATTCGATCCCTTCTTGCTTTGTTTCACATTCGGATTCATTACGTGTTCGGACTTTCTCGTCTTCAGGGATCTTCCTGTTTCGCCTATGTAGCTCCAATATGTAATCAGTAATGAAAAACTTCTTCACATAAAATAGCTTGCACTGCACTTACATTAGCCTACATCGCGATTTAAAATAGAAAAGTGAAGATGTGCGAAATGAAAAGATAGAAGAGTGAAGATGTGCGAAACGGGCGTCACCTTAACTTCACTGGAACAAAATAGAGAGCAGAGCCCAGCAAATAACTTTAAAACCAAACATAATAAAAGTAAAAAATTTATTATTATTTTTTATTATGTTTGGTTTTAATTAAAGTTATTTACTGGGCTCTGCTCTTTATCTTTAAACTAAGATTTCCGCCTGGTGTATCAATTGCCACAGTTTTAACTGAAACATTTTGACAATGATTTCTAAGTGGTGGTATGAGGTGAATGGAACTCTTGGCAATCATGTCAACACAAAAGGCCATTATTTTGAACTCTATTTTAGACTTAGTCTGTGTTTAATTGTATATAGTTTTTCGCTTTAATTATTACGTATTACTAAATAAAGCTGCCTCCCATAATTTTCTCCTCAGCTCTCAGTCTCTGAAAGTTTCTGACTTACATGATGCTCTTTAATTAAACCATCAATAAATTCAAACAGGTTTGTGTGCATGAATAAAACATAATCAAAATCATATTTTTTCTTTATTCTTTCTCACTGACATTCAGTGTATGTTTCCATACATTTGAGTCTGTAACAGCTGTAGTTAGAGAGGTCGCAAAGTTTCAACTAAGCACAATAGCACATGCAGTTCTGACATAAAATAAAGTCAAATAAAGATTAGTTAACTTTGTTCTTTTACCAAAAGTGACCGGTCAAAATGACCAACAAGGCAAGAATTTGACCAGACAACTTGGCATTCTGGCCGCATAATGTCTGTTGACCAGTCGTTATTTCACGCCTTGATGCTTACACATCAATATATACTAGAAAATACATGCATGCAGAAACCCTCGCCTTGCTGACAAAACCATTGTATTTTCTGAACATGAAGTATCTAAAGTAGTTGTCATGGTAACACGATAATTTTATAAGAATATTCTTACAAATGAAAAATCACCTAAAAATATCACTTTTAATTACAAAATTATCAATTTCCCAACATATATATGGGAAAGTGTTCTTTATAAAGTGTTCTTTATAAAACTAAACTGCCTTTAATTAAATGGCTTTATCAATAAACTTTGAGCTTGCAATAAAATTATTTCAAATTCTCGCATGCAAATAACTTTGCTTTCTTTTTTTATTTAAAAAATTCACTATAATAATAAAGGGAATCAATATTAAAGATACACTGAAATTTATATATGCTGTCTTGTTTAGTTGTTTCATATACGCAAAGGCCGTCGGGTTTTAAAGGCATTATAAAATCAATATTAAAAACAAACTTACTTCTGTTAACGTCGGCTCCCTTCTTTTAGCTGATTCTTTCGCAGATTCTTTCTGAGAGAGCTTTTGAAATTTACAAAATCTTGCAAAAATGCGAGCAAAAATGAAATATATTTGCAAGAAATTTATCAATCATCAAATCAAGAAATGTTTGCTATTTCGCTGTTGTCATGCAGTCGTTATAATGCAAACTTTAAATTCGACCAATCAGCATCCGCTATTCATGACAGTCCGTCATATTTTTGAGATCAGTGAGGATGACCACACACCCAACACTCGAACACCGTTGGTGACCCACGGGCACGATGATTGATGAACTTTAGACTTCGCTAATGCTTTCGTTTCCACGGGTGTAAATAGCCGGGGGGAATTAGTACCCTCGCACGGCACTTCGCGCCGTCGGCTCGGGATTATTGTAAATAAGATTTTCTCAACAGATTTTGATTCTATGAGTTGGCTTGCAAAAGTTTAAATTTCAGGTTTGTGAGAAAATATATTTATATCATACCATTTATTGAGCATTTAGTGAGCCCAGTGGTTTGTTCTAGTGAACCAGCACACCTCAAACGTCTCATGTATTTTCAGCATCAATTGTTTTTAGACGTCTGCAATGTACTGGAATTTTTTTTGCGAAATTTTAAAGGTACCATATTTATTTTTCTTCACTTTTTCTCTTTGCACAAATTGTTTTTCTTTTATTTTCCTTTGTGCAATTGTTTTTTGTTTCTTCACCCATCACTTTTCCAATGGTATGCTCCTAATATTTTGTAAAGTGGCCACCACAAGCTTTATGTTGCAATATGTCTGCAATTTATATGCAAATATAAATGCAGATGTGGCTTGTATTTCACTATTTATGCTATTCCTGTTGCAAAGCAAAATGCATTATCTGAGCAGGAGGTATTCCTTCTCATGAATTTATAAATTTTGCATAATTCTGTTTCTAAATATGTTGCATCATGCATATACAACATGTATGTAGTTATATAGTTACATATTTATACAGGGTTTTAACAAGTACTTAATAATTAACAAGGACAAATGTCTATATAAACAGTGATCTAAATTCATTCACGTCTTGTGATATTCACAAGTTTCACATTGTTTTCACAATAAAAAAGCAATAAAGTACTGAAATTACCGACAACTAAAACATATTTCATTGTTGACAAGAAGACACACGCAGGATTGATTGTATTGACATCCTTGCCAGCAGTATGTGATATCCTGTCCGGATATTTCATGTTGTGTTAGAAATATATCAAACAGTCCAATATTCAATAACATTTCAAACAATTAAACACTTGTAAATTGTAATCGACAGCGTAATGGACAGTGTTCTTGTCTGGTTAATATTAAAGCTCAAACGTAATAAACTAGTATGCTTGCGTGGCCGTGCACTTCTCACGAACACGTATTTATTTAATATTTTCCTCTCGGCTGTCGGCACGTCAAGGTTATTAAGGATGTGTTTGCTTACCATAATTTCCTGTGTCCTTTGCACTTTAACACTGACAGAAATCCCAAGAATGATACGCCAGAAATGTGAAGCAGGAATTACTACGGCTTATTTCCCACTGATAAACACGCTGCTTGTCTCAAATGTCTTGAACGACGTACTTGTACATCAGAAATTAGAAACGTTTGTTTAATATTTACACGCGCGGCGCGTGGACCCGGGATGACAGCGACTTTTTTGTCACGGACGTCACCCGAAAATTGGTGTATCTGCGATAGCAGACTGATATCGGCCTGCCCCCCCCCCCCCCCCCC